CAAAATCAAGTCAGCCGCTCAACTGACTGAGCCACCCAGGCACCCCACTTTTTTTTAAAAAAGATTTATTTATCTTAGAGCATGAGTGGGGCTGGGGGAAGGGGAGAGGGAGAAAGAGAATCTCAGACTCCCCAATGAGTGTGGAGCCTCACAAGACAACACAGGGCTCAGTCTCACAACCCATGAGATCACGACCTGAGCCAAAATCGAGAGTCGGTCGCTCAACTGACTGAGCCACCCAGGCATCCCTCTTTTACTTTTTAGAAAACAACTTTATTGATGTATAGCTTATATGCCATAAAGTTCATCCTTTCAGTAATTTTCAAAGCAGTTTGGTGAGTTGTGCAACTATCATCATAATCCAGTTTTTTTTCCCTAATTTTTATTGGAATCCATAATCCAGTTTTAAAACATTTCTATTACACCAGTAAGATCCCTTGTACCCAGCAATTAATCTCTGTTGCAAGCCTCAGGCCACCACTAATGTTTATTCCATTAATGTTTAATGTAATTACTGGTATGGGGGTTTGGGGGCTCCCACTTTATTATTTGTTTTCTATTTATTTCCCCTCCATTTTTTGTTGTTATGTTCCTCCTCCTCCTTTTTTTGGGGGAAAAAAAATTTTAATATATGTATATATTGATATATGTACATACATATTTGTATAAACAGTTCCATTTTAATCTTCCTCTTAGTATGTATTTGTGTGTTGTTGTTTGGGTGTTTCTCTAGAGATCATAATATATATCCTTTACTGTTACAGTCCATGTACAGTTAATAATGCCACTGTTTCACATAAAACAGAAAGCTTATAACTGTACAGATGCATATTCCTTCTGCCTGCCCCTACCTTACCTTGTCCCTTGCTGTAGTTAGTCTATGTATTACATTTATGTATATTATAAACCCCACAGGGCAATGTCAAAATTACTATTCTTGCTCTTCATTCTTCCTTGAGGATCTGGATTTCCATCTGGTATCCTTTCCCTTTGGCTTGAAGAACTTCCTTTAACCACCCCCTTTTTTTCTTTTCTTTTTTTTTTTTTTTTTGTAGTGCAGGTCTTTTAATAATGAATTCTCTTTATTTTTCCTTCATTCTTGAAGGATCTGTTTATGGGCTATTGACAGTTTTTTCTTTTAGCACATTAAGGATGTTCTACTATCTCTGCCCTCTGTAATTTCTGATGAGAAATCAGCGTCCAGTTGAACCATTCTTTTGTAGTATGTCATTTTTCTCTCCATGTTTTTAAGATTTGCTTTTTACCTTTGACTTGTTACAGTTTGATTATGATGTGCCTTGGCTAACCTTTTTTTGTATTTATCCTACTTTGTGTTTGTTGAGCATCTTGAATCTATAAATGTATGTCTTTCCCCAAATGAGGAAATATTTCGCCATTATTTTTCAAATAGCTTGTCTGCTCTATTCTCTCTCCCCTTCTGAGACTCCAATTATATGTATGATATTTTCTAACAGTTTTCTCAGTATCTTTTTATTTCAATCTTTTTTTTTCTTTATTCTTCTCATTGGATAATTTTCTGTTGATTTGTCTTCAAGTCCACTTTTTCTTTCCTTTGTCATCTCCAGTTCATTGTTAAGTCCATCTGGTGTATTACTTTTTCAGTTCTAGAATTTCCATTTGATTCTTTTCTTTTTTTTTTTTTTCTCCTATTTCTCTGCTGAGATTTTTTTTTTTTTTTAAGATTTTATTTATTTATTTGAGAGAGAGAGACACACAACGAGAGAGGGAACACAAGCAGGGGGAGTGGGAGAGGGAGAAACAGGCTTCCCGCGGAGCAGGGAGCCCGATGTGGGGCTCGATCCCAGGACCCTGGGATCGTGACCTGAGCCGAAGGCAGACGCTTAACGACTGAGCCACCCAGGCGGCCCCATCTGCTGAGATTTCTTATCTGCTAAAAAAAAAAATCTTGTCTGCTCATTTCAACATCTGCATCCTCTGAGGATTGGTTTCAGTTGTCTTCAGAATGTCTCCCATTAACTGGGTGATGGGCATTGGGGAAGGTATGTGTTGTAATGAGCACTGGGTCTTATATAGGACTGATGAATCACAGACCTGTACCCCTGAAACAAATAATACATTATATGTTAATTAAAAAAAAAAAAGAAAAATATGTCACATTTTCCTGGTTCTTCACACATTTTGTAAGTTTGAATGGTATCTAGGACATTGAGGATGTAAAATTTGAGAGAACTCTGGGTTCTGTTATTTTGGCTTCAGTGAGTATGATGTTTCCTTGAGTTTTAGCAGGCAGTTCATCTTGGCTGGACTCTAACTACAAATCTGTTTCTTAGGCGGCAGCTTGCATCTTGGGTCAGCCCTTTTGTATCTGGCGGAGCTGCCGTGAGGGTACTCTGTGCGTATGTGGCTCAGCAGCCCACCAGAGGTGTGCGTGGACAGAGCTGGGAATACCCTCTGATTCCTCCCCTTCTTGCCAGTGGACATGGTTTCCCAGACTCCATTTTCTGGTTCCAAGACCAGACAGACTGCATTTGTTCCCCTACAGATCCCCAGGGAAGGGCTATGAAACCCTGAACTTATCCTGTGCAACCGTTCTCTTCCAGGTGTGGACTCCCTATCTACCTGTCTGTGTTTATTCTCCAACACCTTCAGGTAGCTGCTTGTGTTTATAGTTAGCTGAGTTTTATGGTTTTCTGGAGGAGTGTAGGAATGGCAAGATCTTAGTCATTACTGGAACCAGTTTTTCATTTTAGTGAGGGAGAGTCAGACGATAAAAAAAAATACAAATAAAACATTTATAATATGAAATCATTGTGTTGGTTATCTATTGCTTTGTTACAAACGACCCCAAAACTCTGAGACTTAAATCAACTCTCATTTATTATAATTCATTCAACTGTGGGGTGGCTGAGGGTCACCTGATCTAGGCTGGCCCTGGCTGAACTTGTTTGTTTGTATTTCAGCTGGCTCACTTCTATGTCTGCAGTCTGGCTAGGCATTTTGCTCTCGATTGGGCTTGGCTGGGGCACCTTAGTGAGAACAGCTCTCTTTCATGGGTCTCTCATCTTCTTCCTGGGAATAGTGGACTAGCCTGGGGGCCCCTGGGTGGCTTAGTTGGTTAAGCATCTGCCTTCGGCTCAGATCAGGATTTCGGGGTCCTGGGATCGAGTCCCGTGTTGGGCTCCCTGCTCAGCGGGGGTCTGCTTCTCCCTCTCCCCCTTTTCAGGCACTCTCAAGTAAATAAATAAAATCTTTTAAAAAAAAAATAGTGGCCTAGCCTGGGCTTATCCTTCTTATGGTGATGACAGAAATGCAAGAGAGCAGTTTTGTAAGTGCTTGTTCAAGCTTCTGCTTATGACATGTCCCCTAACTTCCCACTGGCCAAAGCAAGTCGTATGGCTGAACTCAGAATCAAAGATGGGAAGCATATCTCTTGATGAGAGGATCTGTAAAGTCATACAGCAAGGAAGCCAGTGTAGGCGGTGGTGAAGATTTGGGCCTTTCATGCATTCTACCATATCAGTAACAAGTGCCATTTAAAAAAAAAAAAAGGGCAGAATAGTGTGTGTATACGTGTAAGGGCATGTGTATGTATGTAAATGTATACATGCCTTTTTTTATACAAAACTGGAATTCGCTTATAGAAGGTTGTGTAGTCTACTTATTCATTTAATATGATATCATACCCACCATGTAGTAAACCATTCCCAGCTCTTTGCCCATTTTAGGCCATTTACAATTTTTACACCCCTTCCCCTGATTTATTGAGTGTTTAATTTTGAAAGCACCTTACATGTATTATTTTATCTTTACAACAGCCTGGTGAAATACTCTTAGTGTCCCCACTTTATAGATGAGGAAACTGAGGTACACCAAGGCTGAGTAACTGGCCTACAGTCACCCACTGCATAAGTGGCAGAGACAGGATATGGAGCTGGAAAGTCTTTCTCAACACCCTTGCTTATGTGTACTAATAAAAGTATAAAAGACTGTGTCCACATTCTGAATATTTCTTTAGATAATGGCCTAGCGGTGGAGTATTGGGTCATAGGATAGTTGTCCCACTTAAAGGAGTGTTTTCTCATTTTGCTGCCAATTGACTGAACACTTCAAGGTTGTTGCTGAGCTAGTTTGTCCCTCCCCCTGCAAGAGAGTAAAACTCCAGGCTTGCCAGTCAACTGCTGGAATGCAAGCAGTTTAATTCTGTGAACCTCAGTAAGTAGGAGAGCCAGGATTGGTGTGGTATGAATGGCAGGGGCCAAGAAACAGCGGGGCCAGTGAGCCAGCTCCCGGGAGCAGTCTGCCGTAGGGTGGCCTGTGTGAGCCAGGGCTCCAGGCCAGCTCCAGGTCCAGCTGATCACAGACAGCCCAGGGCTCTGCAATGATGGCCATTTCCGTGGCTCAGGGACAGGTGCACATTTGGTTAGTGTGACCCCGCCAGCCCGGCACCCATCATCTCCCTGGCCCTAGGCACAGTTTGGATGATGAGGCTCTGGAGCCAGTGACTTCAAGGGACTGGTTGGAAGATGCAGACGGCCTCACAGAGGTTGACTCTCTGAGTAGTGAGTTTTAGAAGTCTCTTGTCTTTTTTTCCATTTTTTCTCATTCTGCCAGTTTGGGCTCTATGGGTGTTTTGTCTGATACTTCCTACTTTGAAATGAGGGGGAAAGTGAATGGAGAGGAAGCGAGATCTGGTTGAGTGCTAATTATTAAAAGTTCTGAATTAAAGCTGGAACAGGAATTCAGGTAAATTGAGAATTTGGGACTTTCTCTAGATTGGGTTGTTTTCAGTGTAACTCATTGCCAGTGAGTATACAAAACTGCACATGACCAGGCCTGCAGTTTTGGGTTTTGGTTACCTGTAGGTGTTCAAAATTTTATCTACTATGTCTCTTACATATTTTGTACCTAATACTTTTTTTCTTTGCTTCAGGTTAGTAGCAAAGATGAAGATTTTCTTGACCTTTCTGTCGATGTGGAGCAGAATACATCTATTACCCACTGTCTGAGGTAACCTCATGAATTCTGACAGTGATCTGAGCTTTTGATCAGGCTAGTAAATAAGTGGGGGTGGGGGGGCGGGGAATACTGTATTTCCTCAGGAGGTAATCTTCCTTTCTGTTAAACCCATATAATCCTATTATTTTCTATTTTTTCTTTCCCAAGAGAGATTAAAAAATAAGTATATGTGGTCTAGAGAAGAAGGATCCTGCTGAGAAGAAAGAGGATCGAGTGGAAGTCATTAGTCCTTAAGTTTAAAAATAAGTTTTAATCTTTAATCCAGATGTGGGCTTTGGCTTTCATCAGTCTCTCTCTCTCTCTCTCTCATCTTTGTCCCTCTGACACACACGATTAATACACACTACCCATGCCTACCATTACTCTTTTTTTTTCTAAGCTACTTTGAAAAATTATGTCCTTTTGAGTTGAGAACCAGTGGAGGAACCATCTGTCTCTCCATCTTTCAGCGTTCTGTGGAGATGAGTGATGGAAAGAAATTCCTCCTTGTTAGGGTTGAGAGAAGGCAAGGAACCCGGAGCGCAGAAGAGCACATGCCCCGGATTCCAGGCATATTGTGTATTGACTTGAACATTGGAAATGTGCCCAGAGTCGACACACAGACATGATTCCCTTTTCCCCTTCCCCCTCCTCTTCCCCCTCCTGCTCTCAGTAGGTTGTGAGGGCTTAGAAGCAGACACTGGGCGTGGAGGAGCGAACATCGGACACGTTCCGGCTCCCCCAGCACTTACATCCTAGGGGGAATCCACAGGCGATGCTTGGTGCTTTGAAGGAAATTAAATAGGTCTCCAGAGTGGTGGGTTGTGGGAATGCCAGTGTGGACCCCACGGTCAGGGCAGGCCTCCCGTTGCTTGGGGTACCATAGATCAGAGACATTTTAGAGTGTCTAACAAGACACTGTGGATCTTTACCAATGGCGATTGGGTGACAGAAGTGTTACTTCAGGAGTCCAGGTTACTTGGAACCTTTTAGAAGGAGACATTAAGGGGACTAGTGGTGGTGGTTGGCTGTTAGAAAGTCATCTTCCGGGGGGACGGCACCAACGCCAACATGGAAGAGCTTCTTGGTTCGTCTGCTGTCATGTGTTGCGTGAGTGGGTGGCGGGGGCCCTGATTGTTTTCCGGTTTCCCAGGGCCCCAGGGCCCCCTCTGCTCCCCGCACTGATGAATTAGTTACACGGCGTTTCCTGCTGGTGTGGTGCACCAGCCCGTGTGTCCAAGTGCCTCAGGTCCAGATGTCTAGGACGAGTGTGTTAACTCTTACAGGCAAAGTGTTTTGTAGGCCAGGGTGGCCTCTTGTTCTTCTGAATGGTTCTGTGTATGCATGGGTTCCTAATATTCCTGTGACAAGAAGCCATCTTTGATTCCCCAAGGTCTAATAATCACAGGGAGTGGAAAAGTTATGGTTTTGCCAACTTCAGTTGCAGATGAAGGAATGGGAGGAAAGATATTACTTGCCTATTTCCCCGCCTTTTTTTTTTTTTTTTTGTAACGAGTTGGTGTTAGAGAGAATTTGGTTAGGTTGACTGCTTCTCCTCCCTTCTAAGAAATTCCTGGGCTGCTCAAAAGGGCAGATGGCAGTGGCTGTAGCTTTGAGATCTCAGTCAGCCAGGTAAAGGGCTTACTGGTGAGTTATGATTTTAATCTTTGGGGAAACTTGTTATGAAGAAATGTAACTCAGATTTATGTTACCTTTATTGATTGGTTGGTTGATTTGAGAAATGTATGTGTGGGTCATGCATACCTGAGGAAGGCAGGCTGGAGACATTTGGAGATGTTAAAGCTGGGGTGGGAGAGTATGAAAGAGCTTTGGAATGCCCTTTTTTTTTTTTTTTTTTTTAATTTTAAAGATTTATTCATTTATTCCAGAGAGAGAGCAAGCAGGGGAAGGGGCAGAGGGGGGAAAGAGAGAGAATCTCATAGACTCCCCCAGGTGCAGACAAGGGACTCGATCTCACGACCCTGAGATCATAACCTGAGCCGAACCGAGAGTTGGACACTCAATGGACTAAGCTATCCAGGCGTCCCTGGATGCCTTTTAAACAACATTAGATTTGACTGACTTACCTATACCTGCCCTCACATGTGCCTGAGATCTCACCTCTCCAACAGGAAGATGGGCCTGGGCTGGGTGTTGCCACTCACCCTCACACTCCCAGAGTTCTGGGCTAGGAGTGGCAGCTTTCTAATCTATCCCAAAAGAACAAAGTGCCCAGAAAGGCCCAGGGAATCAGTGATGCCCAGCTGATCCACTAGCATTTTCCATCTGAAGCAAAAGAGAAGGAATGATTACAATTTTTTAGGTCCCTTTCATGGTTCAGTTCAGTTTGCATTCTTAAGGGTTTGTTTTTAAAATTACAACTATGAATTTTCTTCTTACTATGTCTGCATATGTCTTCTGATGTGATATGTCATCTTTCTTTCATTTTGATGACCCAAAAGAAGTTACAAATCAAGCTAAAATTGTAGGATTTGAATGTAAGGTCTCTGCCACCTCCTTCCAGATGGTTAATTCCAGTATGGTTTCATGGCTTTTGTCCCAGAGGAATGATGAAGTAAATAGTAGTTATGTTCAGGATACAGGGCTATGGGAACCATTAGATCCATACTGTAACTGAACTGGAATCCTCCCATTTCAAACGTCAGTACCGTGTCTCAGGCCGGGTGAGCCCTCCGTATTTTCTTTTCTTCTTTTGAACAGCTTAGGGATGGCCTCAGGCAAAAACTTCAGATACGTGAAGTTTATCTTAATTATCCTTCCATGGCATTTTGGGTATTTTTTGCCTTTCACTTCAGTGCCTGAGTGACTCCTTCACAGAAACCTTCCCTGAAGTTCCACCTCCTGAAACCGTTGTCCCTTGAGCTGTCTTCCTCGCATCTAAAATGCCTGTTCTCCCAGTGCTGCAGAAGTCAGCTGGGAGGGAAGCAGCTCTTCATTCTCCCATAGCTCTGTTTTAAAAATTTATCTTCTCTAAAACGAATTCCTTTTCTACTTATTTTGAGAAACCTCTTTTCAATGTTCTCTACACCCAGTGTGGGGCTCGAGCACCCAACCCCGAGATCAAGAGTCATGCGCTCTACTGACTGAGCCAGCCTGGTGCCCCTGAGAAACTTCTTCTGTATACGAAGTTCATATGCATCCCCACCACACATCCGTTGCCACGTGCTTATTTATTTATTTCTCTGACCTGTGTTTGGTTATTATTGATACATAATAGTATTTCCTAATATTTGACATGTGTTTCTCGTGGATTTCTTTTTTCAGTCTTCTTTAAAACTCTAATCAATGGTTCTCAAATTTTGGTGTGTATGATAATCACCTTGGGGAAGTTGGCAAAAATAGGGGCCTAACCCATAGTCAACTTCAGTTAGCCTGGGCCTCTATTTTTAATTAATTTTCTAGGTGATTCTAATACCACCAGAGTTTGAGATCCACTGCTCTGGGTCTTTGCTGCTCAGACAGTGGTCCGTGGGCTAGCCCCAGTGACATCACCTGGGAGCTCACTAGAACGGCATGTTAGGCCTCTCCCAAGAACGAATGAGCAAACCAGAATCTTCATTTTGACAAGATCTCCAGTGATGCAGATGCATGTGAAGGGTGACAAAGCACTGGGAACAATGCCTCTCAGACTTCCAAGCATATTGGAACCGCCTGCTCTACCTGGAGAGCTCCTAATGTAATTGAGTGGGGGTCAGGGGGAGGGATTAGGCACTGAGATTGTTTTGGAAGCTCCCTGGGTAATTCTCACGGGCAGCCAGGAGAACTGCTGATGTTGCTGCTGTCTTCCTTAGAACAAAGCTTCCCAACTGGTGTGCCTCGGGAAACAGTTACAGGTGTGTATAGGTCACCTTGGCTCCTGGGAGGCGGCGCAGAGCAGCTATGCAGCATCGACCGAGAGACCTGCTATACCTCAGTTACCTGCTGGGGTCAGCCCCTTCTCCTGACCTAGCCTCATTTTCCCGTTCTCCACCCACAGATGCCCTGGGAGCATTACTGTGTCCTTCCGGGGGTGGGGAGCCTCCAGCCGGCTGGGGCGGGGCAGGGTGGTGGTTATTTGTAAATCGGGCCTTTAAATTAAGTACTAACTTTGGTATATTTCCACTCTGGGTCTGCAAATACTTCAGGAAACTTTCTTTGAAGAACAAGAGTAGAAAGTGTTTTAATTCCTTATTCACCACTGTGCTTGCCTTGATGATTCTGGCTCTTCAGCTGGATGAAGAGGTACATCTGTGGTATACATCCCAATGAGGTGAATCTCCACCATCATCCAAACTCTCCTCACCCTCTCCCTGCCCCCCACCCACCAGTTCCACCCCAGCCCTGTGTAGGCCAAGAAAAGCATTCACGTCAGTTACTTTGTTGAAGAGTCGGCCTGTGTTCATTCAGCTAAGTCTGAGTCTCTGTTATGCACCAAGCATCTGAGATCTGAGAGTTGAGTATAATTGCCTTCTAAATTGTTTTCTTGCTTCTCGGCCCCTCCAGTCCTTCCTCCATAGTGCTACCAGAAATGGTATTTCTCAAAAGCACTGATTAGATCTTTTCCTCGCCGGGGCCCGTTAGTGGAATTCTAGAGCCACGGGGTGCGCGCCAGCTTCTAAGACACACTCCGTACCTTGCCTCCATATCCCTGGGCTGCAGCAGTCCCTTTGTCTGGATTCCTTGACTCTTACCCACCTGGCACACTTTCCCTCTCTGAGAACCTGACTGCAGCATCACCTCTTGGAAATGACGTGCGTTACCCCAGTTCAAGTTCGTTTCTCCTTCCTTGGTGCTTTCCCCTGGACTTGACACACCTGCTTCTGTCTTCACTTAACCAACAAATGGAGTGCCATGCTGCATCAGGCCTGTTCTCAGGGCTGGGGATGTGGCAGTGAGTGAGATAGACGGAACCATTGCCCTCAGAGAGAGGAGTCAAGAGATCAAATAGGAGGTTGGTTTCAGATAGTGCTGAGTGCTCAGAAGAAAACATGACAGCAAACAGGATAGAGGCTGGGTGGATTTGCAGAAGATGGACAGAGAAGTCTTCTCCCTGGAGGTGACATCTTTGCTGAGCTCTGAACAATGACTGGAGCCAGCCATGGAAGCATCTGGAAAGGAGCTATTTGGGGAAGCAGCACATGCAGAAGCCCTGAGGCAGAAAGGCTCCATGGCACTCGGAAGGGAAGATAGGAGGGAGGTCAGAAGAATAGTCAGGGGTCTGAGGGCCGAGGGCCTGTCTGCCTTGGCAAGGTATTTGGTTTTATTCCTAAGCGTACTGGGGACGGGCTAGAGGGCTTTAGGTGCAAGAAGTGTGTGAAATGATTTTTTTAACCTGCCCGGAACACTGCCTACTGTAAAATGATTTGGCTTACTTGTGCGTGTCTCTTAGACTGGGGGTCAGCGTGAGGGCAGGTGCTTCTGTGAGCCCCCAGCACCAAGTCCAGAGGACTATCAGTTAACGGTTGAGTAGTGAATGCATGAGCCATCTACGGTTTCTTATGATAAACTCTGTTTAAGTGTGTGAGTCAATAACACCATGTAAATAACATTTTCTGTTTAATAAAATCTGATCATTCTGCTGCTAGGACACTCCCTATGAATAAAGAAATATCACAGGCTCTCTCCAGACTCTAGGGTATTATATTCTGGATGTTCTTCTCAGCCTTCAAAGCAGTACCACAGGAATGTGAAATAGAATCTCAATGACCCGGAAAGAATGAAAAGCCGTGACATTTAAAAAATGAAAACTATAAGTAGCGCGGTAAAACCTCATGATAGGGGTGAATACAGATATAACATCGGGCAGTGGCATTTGGCCTCAAAAGGAGCCAAGGTGCGGGATGGGGAGCAGGGGGTTGGAGGAAGCAGGCATCTCCTGCTAATTAGGGATTTTCTTATGTCAGTCTAAGGGCAGTTGTATATGAATTAAATTTCATTATCTTTCCCTTTGTGCCCTTTGAAAATATAGATCACCTGAGATAGACTGTTTTTCATTACACGATAATGTCACCTTGCATTTTATGTGATTGACAATTTTTCGGACCTGACTTACAGTGTAATGATGGGCTTTTACAATAGTGAGGAATTTTTCTGTTCTAATTTTTGATCTCCAGGGTACAGGTGGTCTTGTTAAACCTTGAGATTTGTTTTTTGAATCTGTTGGAAACCCTAATATATATCCATGTGTATCCTATGAAATAAAGCTCTCCTTGAAAATCGCCAGTGGTGAAATCATAACCCAGTCTAGCAGACATGGTCTAATGGCAGTCACAGCACCTACTCATCAGAAAGATCTTTTCTCATTGCTTTTTTCCCCACATTCACTTAAAAATTACCCTACAGGTCGCCTGGGTGGCTCAGTCGGTTGAGTGTCTGCCTTCAGCTCAGGTCATGATCTCAGAGACCTGGGATCGAGCCCGACGGCGGGCTCTCTGCTCGACGGTGGGCTCTCTGCCCAATGGGGAGTCTGCTTCTCCTTCTCCCTTTGTGCGAGCTCTGTCTCACTCTCTCCCTCTCCAAAATAAATAAAACATTAAAAAAAAATTACCCTACAGGTAATAAAGGGTTTAAAATATGGTATAGCAAGTACATTTTAGACTGTGTTTTGAGTTGAAAATATTTTTGTCTGCAGAGACTTCAGCAACACAGAAACACTGTGTAGTGAACAGAAATATTATTGTGAAACATGCTGCAGCAAACAGGAGGCCCAGAAAAGGTGCGTAAAGGATTTAGCCCGGAGGGTGGCTTTGTGTTGAGGGAAGGAACCATATCTGATTTTGAATCCCAGTTCCATGGGCTCATGGCCAAGGAGCTTTGGAGAAGTCAAATGCCTTCCTTCCTGGAGAAACGAGGACAACACATAGTAGATATCTAGTAATACTGTTGGTATTGCCTCAGTGTTGGAACTTATTATTTCAGAGACACAAGAGGTTAAAAAAGTTAATCACTGAATATGGAAATATGAGGAACTCAATAACACATCGTTATATGGGTGGGCGATAAGTCATCACATTCTGAATTGATACAGGATCTGTGCTTGCCTATCTTTTTACCAGCACCCGCTGGTTACAGCCCCTGAACAGAGTGCGCAATAATCAGGGATTCTGTTATCTGCCCCAGAAATCAGGAAGCTTGACATTTTAATTATCCCGTGAGGCCTTACCATGAGTTACGCTTACCCTGCCCACAGTTGTGGAATATTCAGAATAGCACACAAGAGCTCCTGACTGCCACCTGAAACCTTCCAGAGTCTAGAGCTGAGCCCGGAATAGTCCCTCTGCCCAGCCTCCGCAGCTCCCCCCCACACCCGCCGCCCCTGCCCCAGATATGCACATCTTTCCTCCCTGCATCAAATCTTATCAAAGGTTAGTCATTCCAGCAGATGGGAATGGAGGGCAGAGGTGGTTAACTGTTGTGAGTGATCGGGGAGCTCCTTTCTGCTCCCCGTCCTTAGAATCTCGGTCTGCTCAAGGCCAGCCCAGGCCTTCCTGTGTGGCTCAAAAATGTATGTTCTGCTCAGCCCTGGAGGTTTTATTGATTAAAATATTGTGTGTTCCTGTAAAATATGGTGTTCCCCACGATTCTTATGTTTCTGCTGGCGTTGCTATTTGTTTATTTTTATGAACAGGGTTTTACCTCAATAGATTCCTGAACAGTGGTCTCTTAAAATTTGTCCTTTTCAAATAATATGCCTTGAAAATGTGTACAGCATTGCCACTGACTAAGGAGGGGGGGTCCCGGAAGGTGACCGAAGATCCTCTGTTCTAGCAGAATTACCTACATAAACTGTTGTTTTTGTGAATTTTTTACCAAGGAATATTAATGGTCACCTAGTGAAAAAAGCTTTCTGTGTTCATGTAAGTTTGGGAAAGGCCACATCCAACAAAAGAGAACAGTTCCTTCACTGTAGGATTTCTCAAAATCTTCAGTATGCCAGTGCGTAGGAAGGAACTTCAAAATCGAAAATAACCCTGTCCAAACGTGCCCCAGAAACCCCGCCTCTGTGAGCACCTCCAGTGCTCCAGCAAGCCCAGTTTGGGGAGTGTAGCCCTAAGCCAAGCCCTACATTTTCGGGACGACGACACAGCGAACACACCCGGGGAATGCCTGACACGGAGTGAGTGTGCGCCGAGCGTGCCTGGCTTCCCGGCGGCCGGCAGTGGTATGGGAAGCATCCCGGCCGACCCTCGGAACCTGGAAGGCCAAACTTCAGCCTTCTGCTTGTCTTCCCCCCAACTTCCTTTTCTCAAAAGCTGTCACCCTTCCTCTCCACTATCTCCAGATGGGGTGTCGGGGGGTGTGGTTGTCCAAATGCCGTTCCTCTCTGGAGAGCAGGAGCATGTCCTACTTTTTATTGGTACAAAAATTCAGGACGGTCTCCTTTGACCAAACCGAAAGAGAGACCTGCTGTGGCACGTCGCTCATGCTGGCTGTGACCCCATTCGCCGAGAACGTCGGGGAAGCCAGATCTCCGCACGCTCGCGTCCTTTCATTCTTGGGAGCAGTCTGGTGGTTCGCTGGGTTGAAGCCCATGAGAGCCCTCCTGCTGTCCCTTTGTGTGGCCGTGGCGTGCTCTTGTCCCCTTGGCTGCTGTGGGGGACAACTGATGGTCTGTTTCATGGTTTCTCAGGATGAGAGTGAAGAAGCTGCCCATGATTTTGGCCCTGCACCTGAAGCGGTTCAAGTACATGGAGCAGCTCCACAGGTACACCAAGCTGTCTTACCGGGTGGTCTTCCCGCTGGAGCTCCGGCTCTTCAACACCTCCAGCGACGCCGTGAACCTGGACCGCATGTACGACCTGGTGGCCGTGGTGGTTCACTGCGGCAGGTGAGGGCAGGCGGGGAGGCGGGGTGCTGGCCGCACGGGGAGGCTCAGGCTCGTGCTCACACCCGAGTAGACCCCGCTGTGCCTTTCTGGGGCCCTGAGACTCCGTGATATGGTACTTTTGAGGTTGTCTTCCAAGCTCTTTCTTATCATTGCAAAATAAATCTAAAATGTACTTTTTAAAAAAAATTTTTTTTAAATATACTCTTAAAAATATTCTTTATGCCATTTGTAGTCTTTACCCAATCAGAAAAAAAGAGAATAAGAGAGAAGTCCCCTAGATATGGAGATGCGAAGCGTTTTGCTGGAAGTCCTTTTGAGCAAGTATTTTTTTATTCCGTAGCTGTAGATAGAAGCATGGAAAAGTCCGTTGAAAATTCACCCATTTGTGATCCTGTGCTCAGCTGGGACAGGTTTCTGTTCTCTCTTTCCATGCTGTTATTCTGGCTTTATTCTTCATGGCACTCATTACCCCTTGAAATATCTTTATATTTTGGTTTGTTCATTGCCTACCCAAGCCTTACCCCAGGAAAGTGGGAACTTTGTTTTCATCACTGCTTTTCTGTCTGACAGCCAGAAGAGAGCCTGGAACACAGTAGGTGCACAGTCGTCGTTTGTTTGTATTTGTCAGGCTTGAATATCCGCTTTCCCCACTGGACTGAGGATCTTTAGAAGACCGATGTTTTTGCATCTTCGCCAAAGATTCCCTTAGGCTCAGCACAGCACCGCCACGTGGGTCCTCATACGTTGTGGCCAAACTAATGGGGGCGGAGACATGACCTGTACCAGTTCTCTGTCCTGATGAGAGGGTTGGTTCTCGTAAACCACTGCTTATGCAGAGCTGCATAGTTTTTTTAAAGAAGGAAATGTTAACTTGATAACTTCTGTTTGTTCTTTTCCAGCGGTCCTAACCGTGGGCATTATATTACTATTGTGAAGAGTCATGGCTTCTGGCTTTTGTTTGATGATGACATTGTAGAGGTTGGTATGCAGGTTACAGTCTGTGCCCTAGCCCCACTGTTGGGTATTCTGGGGAATGTGCATGTGTGGACATTTCCTAAAACAGGCCTGTTTTCCCCTAATCTGGCTTCAAAACAATTTACATTTCTCTCATAACTCAACCCTGCTGCTCTTCGTTCTCTGTGGAAAGGCAGAAAGGGGTGTGATGGGGACTCAATGCTGTGTTCTTGTTAACTGATCCGCCATAGATGTGGGATCTGTCACTGAAATCATATTTATATTATACGTAAGTCCTGTTTTCCACTGCAACCAAAACCTTCTCTGGTACAGACCAAATAATAAACTTAAATAAAAAAAAGTTCTACTAGAATTCTTTCATGATACCAAATTTTCTTGTATTGATCGTTAAAAATACTTTTTCAGTCTGTTGGACCTGAAAATCGTTCTATCACATCAAGGGTTCCGTGTATTGATTTTGTTGTAAAGGAATACTAGCTGGGAGAATTCTACTCTCAGACAAGGTCCACTTTAGCTCATAGGGCGATACTAAAGGGAATGAGCTCTGATGACCTGAAAGAATTAAGGTTTTTCCCAAGACCCCCCGGCTTACCCTTTGAAAGAAGCCCTGGCTTCCTCAAAGACTGCTAACATACGGCGGCCTCAGAGATTAAAGGGTGGCTTTCCTCCTCAACAATTTGCAAGTTACGTAATTGTGCCCCTTTGTCAAGTCTGGGGCATTGCCCAGTTGCTGTTGAGAGTTCCCAGTTGTGATTTTAGAAGAGTGTTTCTTACATTTTCTC